GAGAAAAACTTTGATTGCATAAAATAACTAAATTATTAAAACTAAAAACAACTCCTTGACCAGAGGTCAGCACTTAATTAAAAAGAATTAAACATATTTCTCCATTAGCATTAACCTTTGTCAATGTTGACTACTTGACCCTTCATGATTATCATAAATCAACTCAGTCCCATCATTCATATTCATACGCATAAAAACATTTTGATTTATCTAAGATTCATACTGCAAACTCCAATGATAACAGTTGACCCCTTTCATCATATTAATGTAACGCTTGTGCCTATTTAAAATTTCAAACTAAAAGCCATCAAAATGAATTTTTTATTTGGATTAAAGATTGAACTATTTCAGTAACCCTAATTTTTGAGAAACAAATAGCTTTCATCAAAATTGCAAAGCACACTTTGAATTTAAACATTCATCACTTAGCTCTGGTGTACAGTGTTAAGTAAACTTTTGAAGCTAAAATAGGCCGCCAAATGGGGACACTTTTATGCAAATCGCAACAAATCAAACACAAACACCAACTCAAATCCAAATCCAAACATAAATATAAACTGTAGCGAACAAACAACCAGGCTAGGAGCGAACTTACTGACTACCAGCATGATGACATCCCAGCCGGGAGGTAAGCAGGCACACCAGCTTTACATTAAACAGTGATGACAGCATTAGTTGTTTGCAGTAATTAACAGAATATAGAACGATTAATCCATAAAGCGGAGTTGACTTGCTGCATGAAATACCAAAAAAGTGTTAAGCACAAATCTCAAAATCCAAAAAAAAAACAAAAACTAGAATTAAATCAACACTGATGAACTCCGCCAGTTAGCAGAGAGAAACGAACTATCATGGAAAGTGTCCTCATTTTAATTGTTACGCTTACATTACCAATGCGAGTTGTGCACAAATGCACAAATTGCCTTCAGGAATGGCGTTCTGCGCTATGGACTCCAGTGCTTCTATGGACTTGGTGTTGTATGCATTTCAACAACCCACACAACGTTTCTACGACTCTGGACTGCATTTAAAAATTTTGTCAACTCACTTCTCTGCAGCACATAAATCTCAATTTTTTTTTATTTGCTCGTTTTTTATGCAAATGATTTTTTTTTAGTAAGCAATGTGCCTTGGCCTGGTAATGCTCTTTCATTTGTTAAAATTCATTTTTTTTAATGTTTTAATGGCTTTGGATGTGCGTTCCAATACTGCAGTTCCCAAATATCCTTTATGAGCGAATGTTTCATATGCATTTCGATTTACGAATTTTGTTTTTTTTGGAGCATTAAATATGAGTTCCAAACATTTTTTAAAATTTATTTTTCAAAATCCTATCTAGAAAATTGTTTTTACCAACTGTTTTTTTATTTAAACGCCATTTTGTTAGTCCGCGAAATATTGTTTGTATTTTAACGAGAAATTAGCATGTCATGAAGGCATAAAATGTTGACAAGCAAAATTATTACTGAAGGATTTATGAATTTGTTTGCAAGTTTTTCAGTACTTGGAAGTATTTTAAAAAAATTTTAATATTTCCAATGTACTATAAGTATACATTTATATATTTATTTCATGTATATGATCAGATAACAATAAAAGTTTATGTATCATTATGTAAAACATAAAATTAAACAAAACTTAATCTTTAAAAAAAAAATTAAAATCTCCTACTCTTCTGTAATTAAATCAGATATATAAAATAGATAGGAGTTCAAGCAACATAAATTAAATTGGTAAAAATATTTAACTAACTAAAACTGTGATTTGTCACAATTGCGATTATTTGAAACTCTCAGCAGATAAAATTTAATTATATTAGAATTAGTAATTTCGCTTTATTGCCAATATATGTAATAATTTATATATTATTTTTTATATATTAGTTTCTTATATACTGTGTACTTTTTTGTATACCAATTTGTATATAAATTTTAGTAATTTATTTTCAAATGTTTTTTATATATTTTTTATATATTTTATATATTTTTATTTTTATAATTTTATAATTTTATTTTAATTTTATTTTTAATATTTTATAATTTTATTTTTTATATTTTTAGTTTATTAATATATTTACATATTTTATTTGTTTTATACCGTGGCTATGGAGGGGCTGGTTTCAGATTGGATGGTTATTTCTAGGTTTAATGGTGGAGTCCCATATAATGCCTGGGAGTGAACGTTGAAGTCTGTTATCAGGTCTTTTTATGGCTTTAGGGTTGATTGATGGTCGGTATTGTACTGTTCTCTTGGGACTTACTGTGCAGTGGAATCCTGTACACGGTGGTTTTGTGGGATTGGTGGGGTGCCGATGGTTAGTCGATATATTTTAGTTGTTATTATTATTATTATTTTTATT